TTGTCTTGGCAAATAGATAATCATCATATTTTGGACATACAGAACTTTTTGAAAAGAATAACCCTCAGCTACACAGCACAATCATAAGGCACACACTGATAAGTTAATTAGTCATGCTAATAAAAATGACCACCTGTGGGGCTAGGATTATGGCTCAGTGGTAGAGTGCTTGCCTAGCATGTGTGAGGCATGGGGTTCGATTATCAGCACTGCATATACATAATAAGTAAAATAAAGGTCCATTAACAACTGAAAAATATTTTTTTTCAAAAAGAGTCTATTAAAAAAATGACCACCTGTGAACTTATTAAATTAGAAGCACATGTATGCATGGACAATCAAATGCATATCAGAAAAACCAGGTTCATGAGTTTATTGTAGTCACCAGATATAACCCCCTCACCTAAGGCCCATAAAAGGAGGAGTACCCTCCTGGACATGGCAGCACTCTGATCCTGTCACTAATCATGAGTCTTGCCCACAATGCCACATCAATGGACTTTGGACTCTGTCCCCAGAGTTTCTCCTGCTCAGTGTTTCTCCTGCCCATGACAAGACGAGGCCCATGTCAAATGACCCTGTTAAGTGCCTACCTTCTGGACTCTCAACTTATGAGAACTGGTTCCTTAAACACTGATCTCACCACCTGCAATGACTCTTTGCCTTTGCACCTGCTCTCTACCTTTTTTCTCACTGCAGCCTCTGGAAACCTGTGGCCACTTTAACCCTTCGTTAGCATTTCTGTGATGTATGTACATCACTGTGTGAAGTATGATGTGACTTGAGTACTGCAGATATTATTAAGATTGGGATGGGGAGGAGGGAAGATGGCGGCGAGGGGAGTGCATTACCCCCGTGTGCTGCTTCACTGTGTGGGAGTATGACAAGTCAGGACGGCTAAAGGATATCTTGTTAGGAATTTCCAGCAATAGTGGGGTGCGCCGGAACCTGGAGGAAGGATTTCCATCGCATGAGGATCGGCTACGGGGACTCAAACGCGAGAGGTTTGTCGCACGGAGGGTAACACTGCTTATTAAGCAAATAGCCCCGCGGCTAGAGTCTGCAAGGCGCGCTGGGATAGAGACGCAGGGTTACAGCGCTGCAGTTTCTGCCAGACGCGCAAGCACCGCACTCAGGGCTGAATTCTGGGTTCGAGACGGGGGAAGGAAGCGGTCCATCTCGGTTCTCCACACCGGTCAGACCACAGAGGAGGCCAGCAGCCACCATGTTGGTAAACTGACGTCACCACACCTGTTTTTGACTGACCGCAGCTCATTCAGCCATAGAACAGGTAATTTCAGGCTGCAATTCGCCTGCGGCTTGCAGACAGATTGCTAGGGTTCAGCGCCTGGGGGCTTCTTAAAATCTGATCTTATCGGAGTGAACACGGAGCGCGGGGCGGCCGAGTTCCGGCTCCCGGAACCGTCCCGGAACCGCCCTGGCTCCGGGCTGCGGAGCCTGCGGAGGCTGCTTCTTGGACCCTGCTAATATCAGAGCAAACACGAAGCACCAAGAAGCCGAATTCCAGCTCCCGGAACTGAGCCCGCGGGGACTGCTTCTTGGAGCTTACACTTATAGGAGCTTACACCGAGCACAGAGTGGCCGAGTTCCGGCTCCCGGAACCGTCCCGGAACCGCCCTGGCTCAGGGCTGCGGAGCCCGCGGAGGCTGCTTCTTGGACCCTGCTCCTATCAGAGCATACACCAAGCACTAAGCGGCCGAATTCCGGCTCCCGGAACTGAGCCCGCGGGGGCTGCTTCTTGGAGCTTACACTTATAGGAGCTTACACCGAGCACGGAGCGGCCGAGTTCCGGCTCCCGGAACTTCCCTGGACCGGGGCTAGGAGCCCGCGGAAACTGTGTCTCGGTCCAGGTCCTGCTGAGGGCAGGTCAGGACTCACCCATTGCTTGGGTTGCCCGGCAAGGGGAACGAAATGCTGCCATTCGCATAGGATACCAACATGGCAGAGATCTGATGTCAGCAGAAAGCGGTGGAGGAGAGATCTTCATCAATACCAGCGGTGACATAAGCAGTTGGTCTCCTGGTAAGGGGGGTGAGGCTCAGTCACCCGAGTCTCCTCAATTTGTCCTCGAGCCAGAGGGAAGGAGCCGGGCCGCCGCCAGCCCCCGGAGCAGGCCCAGCGGCTCGCCAGCGTGGTGACCGCGTGACCCCAATTGGAGAGGGGGCGGAGCGGAGCCGCCACCCACACCCGCCAGGTGGGCAGACCCACGACCCAGTAGTACATGGGCGTGGTAGGAGGGGCAGGGCAGAGCCGCCCTTCGCGCTTGCAAGGTAAACAGACCTGTGACAGCCTGGCGGGTCAGGCCCAGTGGCCTGCCAGTGTGGTACACACGTCACCCCAACTCGAGTAGGGGCAGAGCAGATCCTTATCCCACGCCCGGATCAGGCCCTGCCGGTGTGGTGGTCACGTGACCCCAATTGGAGTGGGGGTGGAGCGGAACCGCCACCCGTGCCCGCAGGGTGAGCAGACCAGTGATCAACCTGCAGATCAGGCCCAGGGGTCCGCAGGCGTGGTAGGAGGGGCAGGGCAGATCCGCCGCCCGCGCCTTCAAGGTAGGCAGACCTACAACAGACCGGCGGATCAGGCCCAGGAGCCTGCCGGCGGGGTACAAACACCACCCTAATTGGAGTAGTGACAGAGCAGAGTCGCCTCCCTTGCCAGGAACAGACCCAGCATCCTGCAGGCGGGGTAGTCACGACACCCCAATTGGAGTAGGGGCAAAGCAGAGCCTCCACCCGTGCCCGAAAGGTGGGCAGATCTGCGACCGACCAGCGGGACAGGCCCAGTGGCCTGCTGGTACGACAGACACGTCACCCCAATTGGAGTAGGGGCAGAACAGAGCCGCCACCAGCTCCCAGAACAGGCCCAGTGACCTGCCGGCGTGGTAGCCACGAAGATTGGGATGGAATAAAAGAACTTGTGACTGCTGCACTCATGACACCAAGTGAACTGAGTGTATTTTCAGTGAATTAATCCCAATGAAAGTGATATAGTTTGTGAATTTACAGTTATTCAATAAATTTGACATTGTGGAAAGACACAAACATGTCTAGTCTATGTTAATGGCATAACCCACTCATGACAACCCCTCATTTCTTGGTGAGAGGACCCCAAAGAATTTGTGACCATCTCTTTCAATCTTCCACAAAAACCAGTCCTTACTTCAGTTAGAAGGGTATCCACCAAGACTTATCTCTTGGAGTAAGCAGCATTCTGTGTTCACAGTTGGCAATGCTGATACCATCAATGATAGGGCTGAGTCTTATATTATGCAGGTAGAAATGGATTCTTTTCAGAGTTTCAGTAGGAATTTTCCTAGTTATTGATAGTAGGCCCATAATGTTGTCACTCTCTATATTGTTTCCTTCCAAATTTGATTTCTCTAAAGTAGTTTATTTTTCCTCTTCTTTCCTTCTGAGGTGGTTATAGAGAATCCTATTCTTTTCTCCCTGCTCTAAGATTTCTGTTCCTTGGCTATTGTTACCTGCTTTCCTACTTCTTCAGCTTCTCCCCTGGAACTTTCCAGCGATACTCTAATATGCTTCACAAATCCTCCAGAGACCTCATTTCCCCTTCCAACTTTCAATGTGTTTACTCCCTTTCAGAGCAAAGCTTCTTGGAAGAGTCACTATATATACAATATCTACTTCCTCACTTCATATTCAACCCACTCCAAAATGGCTTCTGCCCCATTTATTCCACCTCAAGTGCTTTTGCTAAGACCACTGTGACATTCGTGTTGCTGGATCCAATGGACTTTTTGGTCTTCACCTAACCTTTCTGTTCACTGGTTCCACCTAGAAAGACTCCTATAGACAACGTTTATATTATCAACTTGGTTTTCCTTTGGCCTCATTACCAGCTTCTCAGTACCCTCTGACAGTTGCCCTTGCTCTGATCAGCCCCTAAATGTTGGAGTTCCTCACATCTTCATCTTCCCACAAATGTGCTCCTTAAACAATCACATTCATTCCCATGACTTTAAATACCAACTTGATACCACTGTCATCATCCATTGGACAATCATGTAACTGCAGAAATTATGTCATATCCTTGGAGAAGTCTTCCTAGTTCCTAGAATTGAAATCAACTGTATGTGTTATTCCTCCTGTTACATCTCTCTGAATGTTTTACACTTTCTTCATAGCAGATCTTATGCAATTTCTTTATATGTTTTGGCTTTCCTGGTAGACAGACAGAAAGCACTGTGAAGGCAGTAGCTATTTTATCCACTACTATATCTCCAGCACCAAGCATAGTGCCAGCCTTGGTGAACAATGAATTCTTTTTTTCTTTTCCAAAGAATTATGTTTTGTAAGTGACAAAAAGCATTTTACTCATTTATGTATCATTTGACAATTTTGATTCTTTTTACTTTAGGCTCAATATTCCCTTCAAATACATTTAGCATTTGTCTGTATTTTTAAAAACGAATATTGAGGAGATTATGCAGTGGGCATTACAGACAGTTGTTAAATACTACAGTACAGGAACATGTTCCAACTGTGTGTGTGTGTGTATGTGTGTGTGTGTGTTACTGGGGATGGAACCCTTGCACTTACTGGGCAAACACTCTACCACTGAGCTAAACAAAATATACTAGGGGTGTAGCTCTGTGGTAGAGCATGTGCTTAGTATGTGTGAGGCTCTGGAATCAAGTCCCAGCACCAAAAAACAAATAAACAAACAAACAACATGCATAATATAATTATAGGTCACTCTCTGTATGGATATAAAATGGTTTTAATTTCATCTAACATTACTTGGAACAACACTGCTGTTTCAAACTGCCATGTATTTCAATAACTGATATGTAAAACAAATTTTGAACACTAGATTATTTTTCTTATACAAAATATTGGAATATAACTTGTTAGCATCTGCAAGATATGCTGTGATATTTGGAAAGAACTATTTTCTAACTTTGAAATGAATTCCACACGAGGGAAAGTTTTAAAAGAAAAATTTTAAATGTGAAATGCTTCTGAAGCTATGTAATTTATTGGTTGGTTGTAGAGTTTATCTGCAGGAATCTTTTACAGAACAGAAATGCAAAATTATAGGAAGGCAAAGTATCCTAAGGAAAAATCCCAAATTGAAGATGCAACATACAAAAATGGTACAGCATAAATAACATAAAATACTGGTGTGGAATTGCTTGAACACTCTGCCCCTCCCACCACCACTTGTTAAAGAAATTCATAAAAAGCATAGCAAAAAGTTTTGCATTTCAAATACTGTTGCTAAAATATTCTATTTTTTTTTTAACAAAGATAGAATATAATCCCAGAGAAATCTGCCTTGAATTTTGGAAGGCTATTTTTTTTCCCTTAAAGCAACTGCAAATTGCTTTATATAATATCTACAAATACATTTAGCATTTTTCTGTTACAAAATATTTTTATTCCCTGAAATCATGCCTTTTCCTCTTTTTAAAATATGAATATTGAGAAGATTATGCAGTTGGGTATTACAGAATTATTAAATATTACAGTACAGGAACAAGTTCAAATGTGTGTGTATGTGTGTATATTAGTTACTGAGGGTGGAACCCAGGACCTTGCACAGTTTTTGCACCATCAAAAAATATAGTTTAAGATGACTCATAAATAATAAAATATAAGATACTAACCTTCCTTCATTTTGTTAGATTTTCCCAATAAGGTTCAGTTCTCATTCAACACCTCCACTTATCAAAGGCAGTTTTTTGGATTTTTTTGGTAATATGTGTATGATACTTCATTCCACATCTGTCATTTCTAGTCCATCACTTTCTTTAACATATACCACTGAACCCAAGGCTTTCTTTGAAAGAGATCCTGGACCAATTCCTTCAATACTTGAAAAGTTTTCTTGGTTTGTGTCTTCTAACCTTATTTTCTTGGTGTTTTGAAATAAACGAGTCACTGGTTTCAACCTGCTTTTCTCAGTCCCTTGCATTAAGTGACTGTCCACTTTTGAATCCATTCGCATGGCAGATACCTGAGTAGCAGATTTACTAAATGAAAATCCCATTGGGACAGTTGAACAAATATCAAGGTTGTTTGAAGACACCTTTTTAAGTAGTTGAAACGTTTCTTCAATTTGATTACTGAAAAAAAAAGATGTAGGTAACTAGTGAATACAATAGGAATTTTGACAACTTCATGGCAATGTTGGTTTGGATGAAATATCATGGTAATGCCAAAAATATAAAGTAAAATTGCCTTTTACCTTTCAGTATTTACATTTTCTTTGTGGAAGTGTTTTTAGGTCTATAAAGTCCCTTGAAAGTCTTTTTAAAAAGGAATTTGCCTGATGTTATGTTTATCACCTTTCAGTAAATAACAGAACTTCTCTTAGTCTTGTCTTGTTATGGGCCAGGCTATATGGACAATGACCAAATAGACTCAATTTTACCCTGAGATTCCACATCATATAAGAAATGCTTCTCCCATGGAAATACCCTGCCTCTGTACCTATCAACAGTTGCTTATTAGTATAGTATAGCATGTCTGACAACACAAAATAGCAATTCTTATACAATGAAAGATTCTCTTTTTGTTTTCCATTTTTCTTGGACAATGTACCCTGTCAGAGATTGACTATTTATTTATTTATGGTGCTGGGGATTGAATCCAGGGCCTTGTGCATATGAGGCAAGCATTCTACCAACTGAGCTATATCCCCAGCCCCCAGATGTTAGGTAATGATTGGATCATGAGTATTCTGACCTCATTAGTGGATTAATCCATTGATAGCTGAATAGACTACTGGGGTGTGGGACCTAGTTAGAAGAAGGTCATTTGGGACATGTCCTACCTTCTCCCTGGTCCCTTACTTCTTCTTTCTCTCTCTCTACTTATTAGCTACCATGTGCTGAGCAGCTTTCCTCCATCACACCCTTCGACCATCTTGTTCTGTCTAATCTCAGGCCCACAGCCATGAAGTTGGCCTACCAAAGACTGAATCCTTGGAAACCATGAGCCAAAATAAATATTTACTCCTCTAATTTGTTATTCTTAGGTATTTTGTTCACAGTGACAAAAAACTTAGTAATGCAATGACTAATAAAGATATGGTACTTGTTAAGAATGCCTAATCTATTAAGAGAGATGAGCTTACAACCTGGGAGAGGTTCCCAAAGGAAGGGAGACTAAGTCAGAGTAGGGCCTTGAAAGATGGGCAGGAATTTGCTAGGTAGAGTTGACTAGGATGGCAGAGAGGACAGGTTTCCCGTCACAGTAAGGGAAGTACAGTGCTTATTGGAAAACAGCGATCTACCAAAGATGCAGACTCCATGGCTATGAGTGAAAGCCCATGCCCGTTTTTTTTAGAATGTATTATTTCTTCAGTATTTATCTACTGTATTATCTGTTGATAGTTTACAATTCCATATCTATCAAGCCCTAATCATTTTCTATTTTAATTTTCTGAGGAATCTCTTACATCCCTGTCAATCTTTATTTGTGATTGAGTATCAGTGTTTATAACAAAACAGAATCCTGGGCCTGCTATAGTATGGTAAATAAAACAGTTACATGTTACTAACATAACAATCAGATAAGTAGTACAGGTTTGGTTTTCTGGGAAGCAAATGCAATTTAGCTACATTTTAAAAAGATCTCTGATGAAGTTCTAAAATGTAGGTATACTTGTTTCTTATTTTTCCTTTTGTGTGTGTGTGTGTGTGTGTGTGTGCTGCTGGGGATTGAACCCAGGGCCTTGTACATGTGAGACAAGCACTCTACCAACTGAGCTATATCCCCAGCCCAGTATACTTGTTTCTTATATTTGGAACTTGAACAGGAATTTTTCTTCCTCATCAAAAAAAAAATGCCTAACACTACTTTCAAGTTAATAAAATTAAGTTTATACTATTATTTGGTTTCTTCTATTTAATTAAAAAGGAAACACTCATGTCAAAAATGAATAACTTGAGGCTGGGAGTGTAGCTCAGTGGTAGAGCATTTCCCTAGCATGTGTGAGGCCCTGGGTTTAATTCTCAACACAACAAAAAGAAAAAGAGAAAAAAGTATAACTTGAATCTAATCATAAAGAAAAAATCAGATTGAGGGACAAACAAAATTGAAAGACATCCTACAAAACAAAATAGTATTAAAAAGTGTCAATGTCATGAAAGGCAAAGAGAGACTGAGAAGTTGTTTAGATTAAAGAAAGTCAAAGGTTCATGATCTCCAAATGTAATGAGTGATTTTTGAATGTGTTGGAGAGTGTAGTATAAAGACCACTACTTGGATAATTGTACAATTTGTATATAGATGGTTTATTAGATAATAATATTGTATCTATGTTAAATGCCACAAAAATATAATTGTATTGTGATTATATAAACGAATGTCCTTATTCTTAGGAAATACATGCCGAAACAATTAAAGTTGAAGGATCATATCTGCAACTTGCTCTCAAATTGTTTAGCAATAGGTAAGTACAGAGAGAAAGTAAAATATGCAAAATGTTAAAAACTGTTGAATCTAGGAGGTGAAGGATAAAAAATTGTGAAGCTTATTATTCTTGTTACAGTTCTATAGATTTAAAACATTTTCAAACTATAAAATTGGAATAAAGCTTATAAAACACTAATAAAACCCTATAAAACAACATATTGCATTTGAAATAAATCTAAAATAATGGTAATTTATTTAATTATCAATTTGCACATTAAACTTCATTCTAATAGAGGAATTAAGGAAGAACCAAATATCAGGGCAGATTTGTCCATGAAAGTGTCACTTTAACTTCCTCCAGAGTCCTGAGGACATGAAGGAAGAACAAGTGTGTTGGGGGCTTCTTTGACCCAGCATTCAGGTTGCTATTCAAGAGGAAATCTTGAATGTGTATGGAAGAATAAAGGTCCATGAAGATTAAATCAATTTGGACAAAAAGAACAAAGAGGCTTGTCTTATCAGATATTAAGATATGCTACAAAATCAAAGTAACAAAAGCAATCTTGTACAGGTGCAGAAACAAATAAAGGAAGAAAAGAACATGACAGAGCTGCAACTTGGACCTAGGTATGTTCATGAACCTCACATGTGCTACAGGAGGCACTATAAGGCAATGGAGATTGAGGACACTAAGTTTGGTATGTTGGCACTGTGAACACTGGCTCACCATGTGGACCATGAAGCAATCACATAGGATCCTGTGAAAGTAAAGCAGGATCCCTATCTTACATATAAAAGTAAAGTTCAAATGTAGAAAAGACCTGAATGTGAATGGTAGAACTAAAAATACAATTGAAGAAAACATAGAACAATTTGTTTGTCACCTTGGGGTGGAGAAGGATTTCTTTCTTTCCTTTTTTGGAGAAGGATTTCTTGAACAAGACTTAAAGAATTTAGATTGGAGTCCTCATAATTAACAATTCCTATCAGTGAAAAAACCATACATAAAAAGGAATAAAAGTTTGAAAGGAGATATTTGCTATCTAAAGATGACAGGGATAATAGCTCCAGTATTGGAAAAAACTACAAATCAGTAAGAATAAAGAAAACCCAAGAGAAAAATGGGCAAAGGATATAAAGACATAATTCACAGATTGAGGAATTCCAAGTGTGTTATGAATACATAAGAGATGTTCAAATTTAGTAGGAATTGGAAATCCAAGTTTACTGACATTATGGTTGACTAGAAAAGGGGATAGTACTGAATATTAAGGAGAATGTGGTATGACATGAAACCTTGTGCACTGCAGTGAAGTCATTTTTGACTCTTCTTTATCTTATATTCCATGTCCAATCTGTCAATGGATCCTGTTTCTACTTCTACCATGGCCTATACTGTAGTTTTCTAACAGTTTTGCTTTTATTTTTATTTTTTCGTTGTGGTTGGACACAATATCTTTATATATTTATTTATTTTTATGTGGTGCTGAGCATCAAACCCAGGGCCCCGCACTTGCTAGGCAAGCGCTCTACCGCTGAGCCACATCCCCAGCCCCAGCCCCAGTTTTGCTTTTTAAAACATAAGCCAGATCACATCAATCTCCACTCAGCATACTCTAGTTGCTTTCCATCTCAGACAAAAAGCCAAATTCTCTACATATCTAGTCCTCACCTGTGGGAGGCAGAATAATGGCCCCCAAAGACCAGCTGACCCAGAGGTGGGAAGATGACACTGGATTAGTTGGGTGGCACCAATATAATCACAGGGGTCTCTATAAGTGAATGAGGAAGGGAAGAAGGTAGGTGTCAGAGTGATGTAATGTGGGAAGGACTTGTTGACTTTGAAGACAGACAAGGACTACAAGCCAGGGAATCATGAGCAGCCTGTAGAAGTTGAAAAGGCAAAAAATCTTAGTTTTAGCTCAATAAGAACCAATTTGGATTTCTAACCTTAAGAATCATATAATAGGGGCTGTGGCTGTGCCTGGTATGTGTGAGGCACTGGGTTCGATTCTTAGCAACCACATATTAAAAAAAATGAAGATCTATCATCAACTAAAAAATATTAAAAAATAACCATATAATAATAAACTTGTATTATTTAAAGCATTAAGTTTGTAGCAAATTGTAGCAACAGAAAACTAACATACCAGTTAACACTCTCCCCTAGCCTTCTTTTCTCTTGCCCCAGCTGTATGAGCTCACTGATGTTCTTAAAGTATGTGCTGTGGCAAATCTGCATCTGCTTCCAGTCTTTGAACTAATCATTCCCTCAGATGGTAACAACTGTTAAACTGCAAATTACTCCCATTGGCAATAATTAGTGACATGGAACCTCAAACTATGGCGATCTGGTTAGCTTCTGTTTCCAGTCATAGGGGAGCAATGGGAACCAGATTTATGCTCATGCTTTCCCATTTAAAAATATAGACAAAATACATAAAAGTGGTTTTTAGATATTGGACAATAGGCTGTGCGAGACTGTGATCACTGAGAGAAAGAGAATAAAGAAGGTGAATCCTCTGAGGGCAAATTATTTGGAATTTTCAGGCTTCAGCACAGAAGAAGTGAACCCAAAGAGAGTGTGGTCATTTTAATGAACTGAGAAGACAGAGTTTAGAGTTTGGAGAGGCTAGAGTCTGTGGAGAGGAAAGCGATACAGAGTGGAAAAGCACTCTAGGGTCTGAAGAGGATTCCCCTCGATTCTTCAGCTGAGTGCTGATTAGTACATGTATGGAAGGAAAAATGTGAAGTCTGGGAAACAGCCACCTAAAAAGAGAAGGCAGAATAATCCAGAGCTTACACAGGACAAGGGATGATTTACATTGTCACCAGAATGGAAAGACCTCCTAATATTTGAGGTATTGGGTAGAATGCTCAGAAAGTTATTGACTCAGTATAGGGTCCAAATCATCCAAAACTAAGATTACATAGAATATAAACAAACCATAAAAGCTAACCACTATATAGCACTGTCCAGTAGAACTATTTGTAGTGAAGAAATATTCTATACCTATGTTGTTCTATATGGTAGCCACTAGCTACATGTGGCTTGGTATATGAAATGTGGATACTACAAATAAAATTTAATTTTATCAACTCAGATTCAAATAGTCACATGTAGACAGTGGCACTATTTGGATGGTACAGTTTTTTGTTTTGTTTTGGGTACCAGGAATTGAACCCAGGGTGCTTAACCACTAAGCCACAACCTTGTCCCTTTTCATTTTTTGAGACTGGGTCTCAGTAAGTTACTTAGGGCCTCACTAAATTGCTGAGGCTGGCTTTGAATTTGTGATCCTCCTGCCTCAGCCTCCCAACCTGCTGGGATTAAAGGTGTGCGCTACCATGCCTGGCTTGGATGGTTCAGTTCTAAAGGATCAAACTCTTTCCAAATAACCTTATTCATCTTAGAAGAAAGTCAAACATATTTAAAGAACACACACACACTTCAGCATCCCAAAATGTAATATCTGAAATGTTTGGCAATCAAACCTTAGTAGGCATGAAAACAAGCAGAAATAAAACTATAAACAAATCCAGAAGTGACACTTAAAATATAATTAGTAAACAAGTAAGTAACTTAAATATTTTAAATATAGTCCATATTTTCAAGAAAATAGAATAAACCATGAGCATGATACAGTGTGAAATGAAAGATTTTTTTTTAAAAAAAAAACAAACTTCCAGAGATGAAAAACACAATTTCCAACATGAAGCATATTATGGGTGGGGTTAACACTACCAAAGAATGAACTGAAAAATCCCAAGATACAGCAGTAGAGGGCTGGGGATATAGCTCAGTGGTAGAGCACTTGCCTAACTCCTGTCAGGCCCTGGGTTCCACCCCCAGCACGATTTAAAAAAATGAACAGACCTTTAGTAAACTGTGGCACAACATCAAGTAGCTTAACATGTATGTCTGAAGTCTCAGATTTTTTTTTTTTTTTTGAGGGAACCAAGAGTGGCACGGGAGGGGGAGGGTGTCGGGGGGGCGGGAAAGGCAAAGCAGAATTTTTTTCTGGTAAAGCTTTTGAAATGACAGAGAAACCAAAGGTTTAGAAAATCCAGACCTTAGAGCAATAAAGAAGTTATGTGTCACAAGGGTGAGCATAGGTACTATACAAGGTTCTTGAGTTTCCAAAGAAGGAAGGAAATTTTCACTTTCTTAAGATAGGGGAGTAATTGAATAGTCTGCAATAGGAAAATAAATTAAAATCTTGATGCCTTCTTTTGGCCTTCAAAATATCTTCTCCCTATATTCTTTCCCAAGAATCTGTGGTAACATCTGGGAGCATACATAAATGCTTAAATTTTTTAGTCCTATATTAATAAAATTTTCCATTTCCTATATTAATAATTCTCCTCCCCCTGAAGTCTTCAATTGCAATGGATAGATTTTTGTTTTGTTTTGGTTCTAGGGATTGAACTCTTGGCCTCCCACATGGCAAGCACATGCTTCCACTAAACTACACACCCAGCTCAACTGCTAGTTTTTAAACTAGTACATTCTTCCTCATTTGTTTTCAATGCCAAATGACACTCTTCTATTCAAAATAATCTTATATCTAAAGAGGATACCAGATTATACATCATTTCCCCTAAATTTTTAGGATAGTCTTTGAAAGCCCATGCTCCTTCATTACTTATTTTATCAATCAGGTATAATATTTCACAGGAAATGTGCTCCCTGGGTATTCCCATCTCTTTGTCTAAAATAACAGGAACATTTAATTTGCTAGTATCTAGTTATAAAGTATGTGGTATATGTAAATAAATGTTACAAAATATTATAAAAACTTAATGACATAAACATCTTATGGAAAAAACCCAGGGATTAGCAAAACAAGACACTTATTTTAAGTACTTTTCTAAAGAAATTTGTTTTAACATAAAAGTTGCTTACCCCTGCAAATAATGTTTGGTTAAAAAAAAAAAGAGCACTCACCAAGAAACAGGAATTGTTAGTTTTCTCAAACATGAACTTATTTTTGACAGGCACAGACTTATACAGCATCAAAAAAACTGGAGACAGTGGAAAAAAAACAAAAAGAAAAACAAATGTCTATGTTATCTGTGGGAAAAGACAAAGACAAGATCAACAATGAGGTTCAGATGTTACTGGGTTATTTAAGAAGGGTGGAACATGTTATATATTAAGAAACAAAAGACAATATTTTTTTAAGTTAGGCTTCAAAAAATTGGCAAAATAACACAGAGCTCATTTCTTTCACCTAAAAGTTCATTTCTCCACTTGAACATTTTTTACGCAATTGGATGGCCAAAAATACTACACAGGTTAAGTTAGAGTGTTCCCAGATTGAAGACTCCAAATTAAGAGAAGTTTGAAGGATATTAACCAAGGGAAAAAAATCAATACTCTATAAAACATCACGTGAGGTTGTCTATCTTTCTTTGTTAACTATCACCCATTTTTCTGGGAAGGGGACTTGGAGGAGGCCTGGGAATCTGGGCTTTCATTCCTATTTTTGCCACCTCCCAATACCAGCCTGACTCCAACGTGCAGGGCTGACGGAGGTCATGGGTGCACGGCTTCCCTGGACAGGAGGCTGCCCGGGCTCACCGGGACCGGCGGGCTCGTTCCCTGGAGGCTGCAGTGGGAGGACCCAACCTGGAGGCTCCCTCAGGAACAGCCTCCTGGCTGTGGCAGGAGCCGCGCCGAAGAGCAACTCTGGGGAGTAACCGTTTCACTGAACGTGAGTCCAGAACGAAGCCCGATCCCTAGGAAAAGTGACACAAAGCCACTGCCTCAAGCAGCAGGTGTCCCAGAGCTGAGGGACTGCCAGCGAGAGACTGCACCGCGCATGCGCGTTCCATCCAGGTGCGGCAGCCGCGGCTGGAGTAAGAAAGTGGTGGGGTAGGGGGTCTCGCTGATGGTTACTAGGAGACGGGACGCTCAGGGTCGGGCGTCTAGACGCAGCGTAGGCTTGCGCCTGCGCGGCGCGAATGGGCCGGGAAGAGCCTCTCCTGGGCTCCCTGTACCGCGAGCAGGTGGATGTACGCGTCGCTACGTGCGTGGGTGCACGCGCACGGCTTGTAGTCCCCGCGAGAGGGCGAGTGGAGCCAGCTACGCGTGCGCACGGGGACTGGGGGCGCGCCGGACGGAAGCGGAGCGGAGGCGCCAGGGAGGTGGAAGAAGAGCCCCCCTCAGGTACAAAGCGTGGAGGGCGGGGCCGACGCCGCGCAGGCTGGCGCTAACCGCCCCGGCCGACCTCCGGTCGGGGCCCGCTTTTCTCCGCCTTCGCAGGGGCGGGGCCGGGCTGATTTTGGGGGTGGGCAGGGAGGAGAAAGGGGCGGAGGATGGAGGCCGGGCGGGACCTGGATCTCTCCCGGCGGCCCTGGCCAGGCAGTCGCAGGCATGAGCTCCGGGGAGGATGGCGGGCCAGAGAGGTCCCCGGAGCTCCAGGTAGAAGCAGAGGAGATGCGCCAGGGTCGGGAAACGCCGCTCTCGGGCCGGGAGGCCTCCGACGGGGAGGCTGCAAGAGGGCTCTGTGGGGGGATCGGGGGCTGAAGGGGCCCAGGTGGGTGTTCCCTGCCGCAGCCGCTGTGAGGGGCAGTAGCGGGCCGGGTCGCAGGCCAGGAAAGCCCTCGGGCGGCGCAGCCTGCCCGTGTGGTCGTTTGTGGGGAGCTTAGGGTTGAGCCCAGTTCCTATGGTGACCGCTTCGCTTCCCTTCCTGCCACAGCTGTCCCCTGGGTTAGTCTGCTTAGAAACGCGCTGGAGTGGAGCGGAGACTTTTGGAAGTCAGATTTAGCGTTGAGTCTACCTCTTCCTGACTCCCAGGCTCACTTCTCAGTCTGCCTTATAGACTTCGATATTATTTGGTCGTTTGCATAGTATAATTTCAGCAGGAATTGGCCACAGGAGAGTCAGGGTACGTTGGCTTTTGTTTGAAAAGCTATTGTAGGTCTCAAATATGCTGTTTTCATGGACTCAAAAACTAAAATCATCCCCGCCCCCGAATAAAATTAAGTATTCTGGCTTCATTGAAACTTTGCACAGAAGACAGTGTTCTAGCATTTTCCTTTTTCCATTTCGGGACTTTTTGTCCCAGGATGTGTTTTGTTTTAAATGTCTTCTACCAGCTTTCAGCATGTCAAGTTCAATTTGTTTTTTCTTGTAAGGAAGACAATCGGTTTGTAAATTAAATAAATAGGTTATTTATAAGAGAAAGGGAAGAATCACATCTCTGCCTCCAAGATAAAACTGATTCTTGTTTGTATTTTAATTGATTAACGGACTAAACCTTTTGATCTTAATTCATCTAGTTAATTCTCAATTAACATTAGTGAATTTATTAGAGAATTAACATTAATGAAACATTTCAGACTCTAAACGTTGGCATTATTTAATGGTAGCTTCAAAATATATCTCATTTACTTTCTGAAGAAAATATAATTAGGAGTAGACATTCTCTGAGCTCTCTTTTCTGCCTTCTTTTTCAGTTGCTTAGAGCAGGTTGTTCTAGGATGATTTGATTTAAACTCCTCCATATGCAGAGGTAGTTAGAGCAGGTGCAGTTATTCATCTCTTTACACATCACAGGCTTTTTCCCCCCATAGATAAACGCTTGCCCAACTTCCTTGCCTTTCCTTGTAGTTTCACAGTCTTTAACATGAACATGTATGTTATAGTTTAGCTTGTTTTTGAATTCCATATAAATGGAATTTTACTGAGTACTGTTTTGCATCTTCTTTAAGATGTTTTTAAGATTTGTCCTTATTGTTGCTTGTAGTTAGTTTGCTGATTAGTGTTCCCTTGTTAAAACACACCACCATTTATCTATCTTAAGAATGTATAGATTTTATACAGTTTGGGGCCATTACAAACTATGTTGCTGTAAACATCCTTATATCTGCATCCCAGGATAATATTTTGAAGTGAGTGAGTTAGTAAGGTAGTTCTTTTTGTCTTAGTTATGTTCTTAGCAACACTTTGTTATGTTACTGAATCCTTTTAGCATAGAAAAGCCTCCTGAAAACAAGCGTTTAATCCATTCTTGTGTTTCCAAGAGATCTTGGTAAACACTACCTTTCTGAAGAGAGTAGCTTTGAAGACAAAACTTATTTCTTTACTCTATGGTCAGGAGTGTAGAAAAGAGAAGAGCTTGGGGTTTGGATGGAATTATTGGAGAGATTATTGAAGAGAAGATCTAGTAAAATTTAATTTTTTAGTGAAACAGAAGATCAAAGGGACCTAAGTCTAAATACAAAATTCATTTATGTTTTATATACATCTTATACACATCTCCTGAAAGTGATTTTATCAGTGTTTTTGGTGCACCCAATTGGAGACATTATTTCTTTTTTTGTTAAGTTAAACTGTTACTTTACTATCTTTTAAATGAATTCACAAAATATTCACTTGTTACAAATATAAAAATCTTTGAAAATTATTCATCAAATTTTGTGTGGTTTCTACACCCTTTGACTTTTCCTTCCTATTCAAAGTGTCTATAATTCTAAACTTTTGGAAAGAACTTTTGGAACTTCCCTACATTTCTACCCCTTCTTTCTTTTTTTAATATTTTTTTTTAGTTGTCAATGGACTTTTATTTTATTAATATGCAGTGCTGAGAATCGAACCCAATGCCTCACACATGCTAGGCAAGCACTCTACCACTGAGCCACAACCTCAGCCCCACATTTTTACCCTTTATCCAAATCTTCACCTATCCTTGCTTTTCTCATCCTTGTCCCAGAGGACAGTGCGCACTCTTCATGTGGGTTGCCTCATATTTCCTCATTCTTTCTTCTTCATCTCTTAATATTAACCCAAGTCTTAGGAATGGTTGTTTGTATACTTTGGGGCTTCTTCACCTGAGGCCATGGACCTTAAGGAGTTTTTGAACTCCCTGAAATTGTAAAATTTTGTGGGTATAGGCTGCACATCACTTATCTGAAATGCTTGAAATCAGAAGACCAGGTTTTGGATTTCAAAAAAATTGCATAAGCATAATGAAACATCTTGGGGATGGGACCTAAGTCTAAATACAAAATTCATTTATGTTTCATATACATCTTATACACATGTCCTGAAGGTAATTTTATACAGTGTTTTTGGTGTACCCACATTTTCATTTCAGCCCCAGACATGAATTCACATGTGGAATATTTTACTTATAGTGGTACTGTTGTCAAAAAATTTCAGATTTTGGAGCATTTCGGGGTTTGGATTTTTCAGACTAGGGATGCTCAATTTGTATTTGCATTTTCCTGAGGGAATAATCCAGGGCTTTTGCTTGATTCTTAAATGGGTCCTTGAGAATTAAGAAACATATTTTTCTCCTCTTATAATGACCCTTCTGTAACCTTGGTCTTCCTCCAACTTTCACTTTTCTTCTTTTCAACTATGCTTCCTAAAAGAAGTTTACATTTTCCACTTCTCTTCTCTAATCCTCATTCATTCATTAGTCCTCTTTAGACTTTTCCCTTCTTCCCCGCCACTGAAACTACTTTGTTTAAATAATCAAAATTCATTATTTTGAAAACTATAAAATAAATGTTTTACTAAGCAACTTTGGGGTGGGCATTTATCAGGCATTGGAGATATACTTGTGACAAGAACCTAGTGTCTTGGATGGTATATAGTAGGGAAAGACAGATAATAACATGTGAATAATTAAACAATGTAATTTCAAGTAGTGATAAACACAAATAGCTTAAATAGACAGCAACTGGGAAAGAAGCTACTTTAGATGAGAAGGCAGGAAAGACCCTGTGGTATTCAAGCCAAAGGGCTGAGGATGAAAAGGATCCAACTATGCAAAGGGCTGAGGAGAAAATATTCCTGATGGGAAAAGCAAGAGCAGAGGCCTTGAAGAGAAATGAGATTGGCATGACTTGGTTCATTTGGGCTGCTCTAACAAAATACTATCTACCTGGTAGCTTGTGAACAACAGAAATTTTTATTCTCACAGTTCTGGAGGCTGGGAAATTCAAGATCATAGTATTAGTAGATTTCATGTTTGGTGAGGGCCTATTTCCTGTTTCATAGATACTTTCAGGACATTTGCACAGGCAAAGGAGTTCTTAGGGGCTTTTTTTTTTTTTTAAGGGCAATTAATTTTGACCTAATACTTCCCAAACACTACAACTCACCCCCATCCCTGATTTTTGTTTTGGTGCTGGGGATGGAACTCCGGTCCTCAGGCATGTTAAGCAGGTATTCTACTGCTGAACTACATTGTCAGCCCTGGTACCTCTTACTATAACCATTTTGGTGTTAGGATTTCAACATGAGAATTGAGGAGGAATAAATATTCAGTATAGCAGTGCATTAGAGGAACAGAAAGAAAACAAAGCTAGCAGGTGAACAAAAGAAGAGAGTGCCAAGTCTTTTAAGTGAAGGCAGGGCCCAAATCATGTAGGACCATAAAAAGTTTGGATTTTATTTTTTGGATTTTATTGCAGTAGGAGCCACTGGAGTGTTTTCAAATGTTATTAATTTTACTCTTTTTTTTTTAAAAACAGTTTGGAGATTTAATCCAGGGCCTTGTGCCTGCTAGACAAGACTTTATCACTGAGCTACAGCCCCAACTGGTATCTTGTCATTTTAAAATGATTGATTTGATTTTAGTATGGAGAATAAGCTGTAGGGAGTAATAGAAGCAGCGGAAAGACCAGAAGAAAATTTGAAGTAATCTAGGTGGGAGATGACGACGACTTGGACTCAGGTGGTGTAATAAAAATGTACAGAAGTGAGTGGATTTAGGATATATTTTAGAGGTGGGACCAACAGGACTTGCTGATAGAGTACATGAGTGTCGGGGAAATTAAAAATGACTACTCCTTTTTTGACCTTGGGTACATGCACAAGTGATGGTGCCATTTGACACAGAGAAGACTGGAGTGGAGGCACGGCTGAGAGAGCAGGGGTACAGGTGAGGGTTTAAGAGGTCTATGTTAGACTTGTTAAAGTTGCCACAGTGTGGACATCCAGTAAAAGCAACATCTCGTGTTCAGTGCTTAGGGGTATGTTCATGGTTTTGGGGGGAATGG